CAGTCTCTACAGTTATACTTTTCCAGAATGTCACATAATTGTACAGTATACTGCCTTTTCAGACTGGCTTCTCTCACTTTGTATTATACATTTAAAATGGTACTGGCACAAAAACAGAAATAGAGATCAATGGAACAGGATAGAAAGCCCAGAGATTAACCCACGCACATATGGTCACCTTATCTTTGATAAAGGAGGCAAGAATATACAGTGGAGAAAAGACAGCTTCTTCAATAAGTGGTGCTGGGAAAACTGGACAGGTACATGTAAAAGTATGAGATTAGAACACTCCCTAACACCATACACAAAAATAAGCTCAAAATGGATTAAAGACCTAAATGTAAGGCCAGAAACTATCAAACTCTTAGAGGAAACCATAGGCAGAACACTCTATGACATAAATCACAGCAAGATCCTTTTTGACCCACCTCCTAGAGAAATGGAAATAAAAACAAAAATAAACAAATGGGACCTAATGAAACTTCAAAGCTTTTGCATAGCAAAGGAACCATAAACAAGACCAAAAGACAACCCTCAGAATGGGAGAAAATATTTTCAAATGAAGCAACTGACAAAGGATTAATCTCCTAAATTTACAAGCAGCTTATGCAGCTCAATAACAAAAAAAAAACCCAATCCAAAAATGGGCAGAAGACCTAAATAGACATTTCTCCAAAGAAGATATACAGATTGCCAACAAACACATGAAAGAATGCTCAACATCATTAATCATTAGAGAAATGCAAATCAAAACTACAATGAGATATCATCTCACACTGGTCAGAATGGCCATCATCAAAAAATCTAGAAACAGTAAATGCTGGAGAGGGTGTGGAGAAAAGGGAACACTCTTGCACTGCTGGTGGGTATGTAAATTGATACAGCCACTGTGGAAAACAGTATGGCGGTTCCTTAAAATACTACAAATAGAACTACCATACGACCCAGCAACCCCACTACTGGGCATATACCCTGAGAAAACCATAATTCAAAAAGTGTCATGTACCAAAACGTTCATTGCAGCTCTATTTACAATAGCCAGGAGATGGAAACAACCTAAGTGTCCGTCATCGGATGAATGGATAAAGAAGATGTGGCACATATATGCAATGGAATATTACTCAGCCATAAAAAGAAACGAAATTGAGCTATTTGTAGTGAGGTGGATGGACCTAGAGTCTGTCATACAGAGTGAAGTAAGTCAGAAAGAGAAAGACAAATACCGTATGCTAACACATATATATGGAATCTAAGGAAAAAAAAAAAAAGGTCATGAAGAACCTAGGAGTAAGACGGGAATAAAGACACAGACCTACTAGAGAATGGACTTGAGGATATGGAGAGGGGGAAGGGTAAGCTGTGACAAAGTGAGAGAGTGGCATGGACATATATACACTACCAAACGTGAAATAGATAGCTAGTGGGAAGCAGCCGCATGGCACAGGGAGATCAGCTCAGTGTTTTGTGACTGCCTGGAGGGGTGGGATAGGGAGGGTGGGAGGGAGGGAGACACAAGAGGGAAGAGATATGGGAACATATGCATATGTATAACTGATTCACTTTGTTATAAAGCAGAAACTAACATACCATTGTAAAGCAATTATACTCCAATAAAGATGTTAAGAAAAATTAATCCACGTTCTTTCCTGGTTTGATAATTTGCTTCTTTTTTTATAGCTGACTAATATTCCATTTGTACCACAGCTTGTTTATCCATTCACTTATTTAGGAATATCTAGGTTGTTTTTAGTTTTCTGTGATTGTGAATAAATTTGTAATAAACATTCATGTGCAGATTTTTGTGTGAACATACATTTTCATATTAGTTGAGTAAATATCTAGAAGTATACTTGCTGGATTGTATGGTAAGTCTATGTTTAGCTTTGTACTAAGCTTTTAAACTGTCTTCTAAAGTGATTGTACCTTTTTGCATTCCCATCAGCAATGAATGAGTGTTCTTGTTGCTCTGCATCCTCACCAGAAATTAGGATTCTCAGTTTAAAAAAAAAATTATCCATTATAATAGATGGGTAGTGTAAATTACATTTTTATTCTTAAATATATACTGGAAACAGATTATTTTGCAATGCAGAAGAATTTCTTTTCTGTGTCTTTTTTTTCTCTTTAAATTGGAGTATAGTTGATTAACAATGTTGTGTTAGTTTCAGGTGTGCAGCAGAGTGATTCAGTTATACGTATACATGTATCTATTCTTTTTCAAATTCTTTTCCCATTTAGGTTATTACAGAGTATTGAGCAGAGTTCCCTGTGCTATATATTAGGTCCTTGTTTGTTATCTGTTTTAAATATAGCAGTGTGTAGATGTCAATCCCAAACTCCCAATCTATCCCTCCCCCACACCCCTCCCCCCGGTAACCATAAATTCATTTCTAAATCTGGGAGTCTGTTTCTGCTTTGTAAATAAGTTTGTTTGTATCATTTTTTTAGGATTCTGCATATAAGTGATATCATATGATATTTGTCTTTCTCTGTCTGATTTACCTTACTTAGTATGATAATCTCCAGGTCCATTCATGTTGCTGCAAATGGTATTATTTCATTCTTTTTAATGAATGCAGAAGAATTAATTAAAGGAAATGATACTCTTCAAAGACACTGATAACCATAGTCTTTACCTCCTCCTCACAGAATAAGGGTTGGCCTCACTGCTAAGGAATTTTCTTGAAGACCCCGGAGAGCCCATGTTTGTAAACATTCCCTGGAATCCATGATTCTCAGCCCTATCAGACCCAGTGCACCCTTACAACAAATGTTTGTAATGCCTTCTTTTCTATGCCAAAATGAAATGAATCAGTAATATAACCTAACTGCATAGTTTTAAAAAATCAATATAATTGTTAAATACAGGAGAAATTTTAAAAATTAAAAATTAGATATTCAAGCATGTAGATGTTCAGTCATAAATATATTAAAAGACAATGAAGTAGTCAGGTATTAGTACTTTCTTCCCAAATAAGTGAGAAGATCAGAAGTCACTCCATGCAAGACACAGAGGGAAATTGAAACATTGGTATGAGTGGACACTAGAATAAAATCTAGTATTACTCTTGTGCATAATTGAAAGAGAACTTATTTATATGTAATGAGGAGGAACAACCCCAGTTGAAGTAGGACTAATATGCCAAGATAAATTACAGACTGTTTTTTTTTTAATTTTTAAAAATTACAGACTGTTGAAGTGAAAGCAATGGTGAGATATTCTTGCAAATGAACTCAGTATTACAAGTATGGTGTTAAAATTTCATATATTGTGACATAAAGTGTTAGTGACAAAGTACACGTCTCCTGCCATTTTGAAATCCCATTACATGTTGGAACATACGTTCAGTCTCAGCTAAAACAGCCTGGGAGGCTATATTCTTCCATAAACAATAGGGACTATAGAATAGATTGGAAAGAAACTATAAATAAGAGGCTACATGTACCCCAATGTTCACTGCAGCACTATTTACAATAGCCAGGACATGGAAACAACATAAATGTCCAATGATAGATGAATGGATAAAGAAGATGTGGTACATATATACTATGGAATATTACTCAGCCATAAAAAGGAACAAAGTATACCAGAAAGAGAAAAACAAATATCGTATATTAACACATATATGTGGAATCTAGAAAAATGGTACAGATAAACCTATTTGCAGGGCAAGAATAGAGATGTAGACATAGAGAATGGACATGTGGACACAGGGAGGGAAGGAGAGGGTGGGACGAATTGAGAGATTAGGTTTGATATAAATACACTACCATGTGTAAAATAGATAGCTATTGGGAACCTGCTGTATAGCACAGGGAGCTCAGCTCGGTGCTCTGTGACGACCTAGATGGGTGGGATGGGGGGGGAGGTGGGAGGAAGGTCCAAGAGGGAGGGGATATAGGTATACACATAGCTGATTCACTTCACTGTACAGCAGAAACTAACACAACATTGTAAAGCAATTCTACTCCAATAAAAAATAAAGGCTGTAGAGAAATTATGTGATGAACCATAAGGGACAATATTGTAGTAAGAGCTGAAAACAGGCAACCCCAAAATAATGCCAGTGCTAGTTTCCCAATATAAGTGTTTGTCCCTGTACTACAAAGAAATAATGGAAGATGATAAGAATGTGAAATTTTAAAAATATTTTTATAATGAAATGTAGTGTTCTGCTAGTTTTATAATATTTGGCATGAAGTCGCAAAAGGAGTCCCAAAGCTATCATATATTTGCAATCTGCCTTGTCGTTTTTGCAATAATTGCATTTCTACACTGAAACCCTTTTTAACTAATATGCATTTTAAAATGCTGTATAACATTGAGTAGATAGAAAGTAGAGAGATAGTAAACTATTCAATCGTTTTAAAAGTCTCTATCCCATTTAAGCTTTTCTCTCTATAACATCCTTCTCTTAAATTATGTTGACTTCTTGCATAAATATATGAAAAATCTTTTTAGTATCTCATCTACTGAAGTATCATTAGTTTGTACTTATAGTGGGTTTGGCACTCTGGGATATTAAAACTGTGTTCAGGAAGATACTCCATGTGTGGGATTGTCCTTTCTGTTTAGAATATCTAACATTCTTTGCCCCTAACCACTAAATGCCTGAGCCTCCGTGTCTCTGTCCCCAGTCGTCAGAAAAGCAAAAATGCTCCCACATTTCCAAGATGTACCCTAGCCTACAGTACCTCCCTTGTTGAGAACCTCAACTAAATCTACGGTTCCTAACCTTTCATGAGGAATATTGTAAGTTTCAGCTGCTTGAGCATAGTGAGTGAAATCTGGATAAGTAGATTCTGTAACAATTTCGTGGTGACTGGAGAGGCCATCATGTGTTTGATGAAATGGGAGTTTCAGAACAGAGTTCAAATGATAAATGTCAGATTTTGCAAAGGTACGTGCAAAAAATGTCCTTGAGGAGGAAACAGGGTATTACAGAAGAAGAAAGCTAGGTCAGAAACTAATGTTGCTAATTTTTTGTTGTTTTTTTTAGTCCACAAAACTGGGTGAGGACATGGGAAGAAAGACGAAAAGGAAACTGACCTACCAGTGTGTACCAGGTACCAAGAGCTGTACTGACACTTCCAAATCTAATCTCCATAAAACTCTGAGGAGGCTACACTGTTCTCAATTAATTCTCAGGTTATGGTAGAGGAGACTGGGATTCTAAGAAACTGTGTAACTTTTCCTACCTTGTTTGAAGAACAGAGTCTACCAAACAAGAGGAACAAGAAGAAAACTGGATGTTGGAAATGGAACAGATTGGCATACTCATGCTGTTGAATGGGAAAGCAGGCTTGTTAGGTGACATCAATGTTTTGGGAGAAATAGAAAGCCTTTGTGAGATGGTAGGTCCAGACACTCTGTATTCCTAACCTGAGCTAAGGTCTTTTGTCCAAGTGGTAAGAACATACCACTGTTGTACTTTGTTCCCTGTAGGTAGGAACAAAATACACCACCCAAGCTTCAGGCTTTTTGATTCAGGTCTAGCTGTGGCTAGACCCCATTAAATATTGTGGCCTGTGATTTTACAATAATTAAACATTTCAAATTGAAAAATGGAAGAAGTTCCCATTAGCTCATGTTAAAGATTGAATGTGGGTGAAATGTGTTGCTTTCTACAAGTTTATGGACAGAAAACCTCTAAGTGTTTATGTGCCATTCTTGGTAAGATCTACATTTAAATCAGTAGGTCTTGTGCTTTAATTCTGGAGTCTCAAAGGTAGTGCTTAAAACATGCTCCTACCAGCTTGTGAGGACCAGTTGTTAAATTTTCAGGAGTTTTGCCATCTGTTTATTAAATCCTTGATAGTTTGAAATCAACTGTGATGGCAATATTTACATCTCAAAATCAGAAAACCCTACAAATCCAGCCCCTACTCCCTGCTTCTGAACTAACTGTTAAACATTGTATAGGTATACTAGTCTAAAGGTTATAAAATGATTCACCTGTGGTCATTGGCATTTACTTGTACTCAAGGGTATCTTTCTATGGCTTACAATCACTGGCCATATGACAACTACTGAAAAACTTATTTGCTCCTTTTACATAACACACTTTTGGTTGGGATGAGGTAAGTAACAAAGTTACTTATTTAGGGGGAGATCTCTAGTGCGGATAGTGGTGGTAATCAGGTTGTGCCTCGTTATCATTAAAGCTTTTATTATTTCCCTTCATCCTCATTCTTTTTTTCCCAAAGCCCTCTGCTGTCATTGGTAAACATTCTAATCGATTTACTGTCTATATTTTTGAATGTGTTCTTATAAAATGTGTACAGTTCTGCATACATATATTAATTTATAGAAATGGTTCATCTCAATCTGTCTTACACTGTTCCATACCTTTTACACCCAGAACTAGTATTAATGATTTTTAATTTGACTATGTTGTAACCAATTGTCCTCTGGAAAGACTTCACTAGTCACTTTCCCATCATCCATTCTTGAGGATCCCCATATTCTCACATTCTTGCCAATACTTGACAATTTTCCAACTTTCTATTTCCAGGCTAATAGGTGTAAATAATATCTTTTCTCAATTTACATTCCTTTGATTACTAATGAGTCTGAGCACCTTGTTATACAGTTGCTAGCATTTGAATTTTCTGTAAATAGCTTGTGGGTATATACTTTGCACAACTTTTTTTCTTTGGTGTTCCTGTCTCTTTATTGTATATTCTAGATATTAATTTCTTGTCAATTTCACATCCTGCAAACTTCTTTGGAAAAACAAATTTAAGTTCCTTTACTTAAATTAGGAACCCACAATCTCATATTTTTTGGTGAAAGTGTACTGAGAAGAAAATTGTGGCAATTGGTTCTTTCACCAGTCAAGATAGATTAGATCATGTTTCAGTATCAAACATTTTCCATATCTTTATGGTTTAAACAGGCAGCATACCTGAGAGAGAAATAAATATGTCAACTGTGGATCAGCAGAGGGGCTCCGCTTTTTACAGTAACACAGGGACTGTCAGATCAGCCACCACCTCAGCATTGCTGGTTGCTAAGACAAAGGGAAAGAGGGAATTCTGAAGCATTTAGCACCAGCAAATAAATGCTTGGCCAGGAGTTGGTCATGCGGCCTTACCCATTTCCAAGAGGTCCAGGAAGTACAATCCTGCCATTTTATGAGAAATAACCAAGATGCAAATAGTCAGCAAAAATCACTATTATCTGCCTTTCTGGCCATCAGATATGCAGGTTACCACCTTCTTTCCTGCCACCAAAACCCATTCCATCTTTCTTGAGAGATACAATCCAAAAGTCACTTAAAGTCAGTGCATCAGACTCAAAGCCCAGCATCTCTAAGTAATAAATAGCATTCTTTACATCAGGTCCAGGTGTGGTCCTTCATTATCTGGAAACCTGTGAATTAAAATGACAAGTTATTAGTTTCTCACACACCCAGTATACATCGGTGGAATAAAGGAATGGTAACTGAAACAAATAGTCCTGTTCAGATTGGGAAAGAATGGGAAGTCAATTTTAAGATCACCCCAGGAATGTGTTGTCAGGATCCTTTATGCTATGGGTGGAAGATATATATATATATATAGATTTATTATTTATTTTGGCTGCGTCGGGTCTTAGTTGTGGCACGCGGGATCTTCGCTGAGACATGCAGGATCTTCCATTGTGGCGCATTGGCTTCTCCCTAGTTGTGGTGGGTTTTCTCTTCTCTAGTTGTGGTGTGCGGGCTCCAGGGCACATGAGCTCCGTAGTTGTGGCACGTGGGCTCCAGAGCTCGTGAGCTCTGTAGTTTGCAGTATGCAGGTTCTCTAGTTGAGACGCGTGAGCTCAGTAGTTGTGGCACCCGGGCTTAGCTGCCCCGCATGTGGGATCTTAGTTCCCTGAACAGGGATCGAACCCATGTCCCCTGCTTTGGAAGGTGGATTCTTTACCACTGGACCACCAGGGAAGTCCCAGATATATCTAATGAGGACTCAATTCCAAGTTCACTGTTTTCCAAGTTCACTGTTTTCCAAGGTCCTTGGCTTAGGCCTTGGGAAGTTTCTCCTTTCTCCATTATCTTCTGTGGCTATAGTTCAGGAGAGGGTTGGAGAATATATCTGCCTTAGAGATTAAGAAACTTTCTCAGCTTGTGCTTTCAGGCCAAGAATCATTTTAAGTTTCAAATAATCATCAAATTTTGGTCTCGTCTTGTGGTTTCTTTGGACTAAAACAACATATTTAATTAGGTTCTCATCCGTTTGATTTCATTCATCAGCATGTGCCAGTAGACATCCACAATAGTTTTCAAGACTGGGCTAAGTTCAATTAAGTGCACAGCTTGAACCTATGAGGATTTGGTGGGAGAATCATAGCCTTTGTCTGTTTTCACTGAGTCATTTTGTCCTCTTTAAATGACATAGTGGATGCCATAACCTTAACTAGATCTATGCTTTCTGATAACAGAAACCATTCAGAAGTTTTCAGTTTTAGTCATGCCTTTGATTTGGTTCTTGCTGTAAGGCTAAATTTTAATAAGCCTTTTTTTTTGTATGAAAAGTCTTCTTATCTTTTACCAGTTGGGGTTGAGAAGTATTTCCCTTCCCAACCCTGCAAGTCCTAGACTTCCTGGATCCTCTCTGTTCCCTTTCATTCTTTCTTGTAAACCAGCCAACTCTTTCCCCAAGTTAAATGAGTTAATCTATTTCTTGTTTGTTGACAAATATAACCAATGGTAATTAAAATTCTCTCTTCCAAACTTTTCCCTCAGAAATGCAAGTTTATCAAGAAAATACATTACATACTTTCCAAGTGTCACAGATGACAACTTAACCAAATGTTTCACCACTGTATAACATGGATTGTTATTCTTTCAGCCTCCAAAGTTTATTTTCTTGCTACCTAGCCCCTAGGCCAATGCCAAAAAAATTGATATTTTTGTTAGGTGATACCTCCTTTTCTAAATACTTACTTGTATAATGATCCAGGCATTCTTCTAAGATGGGTGATGAATGTAGCAGGTAACTGTGAGGTTCTGCTGCTTACTGGACCATCTTCCTCTTGTTACTGAATTAGAAGGAGGGGACAATTAATTGGTTCATTGTCTCTTAAGTTCTAATATTTCTAAGTCAGTTACCAAATATAATGTTCAAGTAACACTAAATAAATATAAATATATAAATCATCAGTATCTAAAACTAATATATTGAATATCTCTTTTCCCCCTTGTTACAATTGTAGCAAGCCTGAGGATATGTCTCATATGATTTACCTTCTTGCCTGATTCTTTCACACAGGTACAGAGAATAAATGGGTAACTTGGTATTACCTGTCTTTGCATAATCAGAAATTTTTGAGGAATTGTGTTGAGGATACTCAGTCTCCAGCTTTGTGGGTTTGTCCTTTCAAGGGATTCTTGAGTAATTTTAGACACTACTGTATTGAAGTACTGATGTGGGGGAGATAGAGAAATGAACGATGCTCCTCTACTCTGGGGGGATGGGCAACAGACTCTTCCATAAGACTTGAGAGAGCTGACACCAGCTTCATGTTTAGAGTTTGTTGAGCAACAGATCTTAGACCCATCCAGAACTGCCAGGGCATAAGAGGTGGATGAAGAGGGTAAAGAAGTCTTGATAGGCTAGAGAGGGTCAAATATGACCCTGAATTAATCACACCACTGAGCTTGACATCAAGAAGACTCAAACTCCCAATGAACCCAGGTGGTTAACACCTGATTATTGGGTACCAGAGTATCAACTCTGGAAGATGGGCAGATGGAAGAAAGTGACTGCGTCAAAGAGAAATGTAGGCCAATTCATGAAATCTGTATGTAGAGAAAGGGTTGAAAACTTCCTCTAAAGAGCCAGATAGTAAGTATTTTAGGCTTTGCAGGCCATATGTGATCTCTGTCACATATTCTTTTTCCCCTCCTTCTCTCCTAACCCCTCCTCCTTTTCCACCACCACCTCCTTTTCCTTCTTTTACTTCTCCTCTTCCTCTTTCTTCTGCTATAACTCTTTAAAAATGAAAAAAAACATTCTTAGTTCTTGGATCATACAAAATCATGCCTGCAGACTATATTTGGCCTAAGGGCTGTCGTTTGTCA